TTCACCACTTTCCTGGAGATCCACGTGAGAACAGGAAAGCCTGACTGCAAGATCTCAGCGCTGCTGCTGCCTCTTGCAATTTTACTTTTTTTTTGCCTTATTTTTTTCCCCTGTTTGTTTGTTTGTTCTTACTTTCATTTTGGAACCGGTTCCCAGCTGCTTGGCTGAACTTCTGGAGACCAATGGACCTTTTATATTGCCTTCCTCTGTTTTAAACAAACTATGGACGCTTAAACTTTTCTCTTTCCCCCTCCCCCTCGCTCCTTAACCCCCACCCGTCAGCTCATGGGGCTAACACTGCAAAGCAGCGCAGCAGAGGGAGAAATACACAGCCACTGATTTATTTTCCCGTCTCCTAAATTGCATTTAATTCTTCTCATCGTCTTCCTCATCACCTATTCTGTCGAGCTTTTTTGGCTGCCGGGTGTCGATCTGTGCGTCGTTTTATCTGATCTCGATTCTTTTGTTGTTTAAATGCCATGCACCGCTTATCTACAGAGAAAGCTATATGGAGATAGAGGCATATAGCGAATGCGTGTGTTTCCATAAGAGTATCAAGGGAGCAGATCAGAAGCAGCCCGGATCCTGACCCTGGCACTGTATGAATAAGTAAGCAGGATGCTGACGACTGTGTGTTAGTTGCCTGTAAGGTTTTCGTAAGTTAAAGGGGGACGGAAGAGGAGAGGGGTGGGGGGGCAGACCAGAGACAGCTTAGAGTAAGTGTGCGGAAGGGGGGGAAGCTCTGACACTTTGCTCCCTCCAGCGTAGCTGCTGCCTCCCATCACTAGGGCTCTGCGGTTTGCTCTACTGCACCGCACTCCCCCGCTCCCTTTTCTTTCCTTCCTCCCTTCTTTTTTCCCCCTCTTCCCGTGGTAGTTTGCTGATGTGCAGCCCGGGTCCATCTTCTGGCAGCAGCAGCGGGACCGGGACCGGCGGCGCAGCAGGGCGCGGGCCAGGCGTGGAGCGGGACGCGGGTAGCGGCCGCCTCCTCCTCCTCCGCGGGAAGTTTGGCTGGGGTTTGACAGAGGCGAGAGGACGCCCTGACAGACAGGATCTCCTGGCCTGAGTCCACCCCCTGTGCCCACCCACACACCCAGCGACTTCTCCCCGGCGAAAGGGCAGGAGGGGCAGCGGCGCTCATGCTTCTCACTCTGTGTTGCACCCGTCTGACTGGGGCTACCTAGAGAGCACCGTCTCTCGGAGGATCCTCCAGGTGGAGAAAGAAAAAAACCCCAAACAACCACCCCCCCCTCCCCCCAAACCTGTGGTTCCTCCATCCCTTACCCTCCTTTCCCAAGCCGGCGTGGACAGCTGAACTGGCCGCCTAATCCATCTGCACCCTGCCCACCACCTCTCTGCCCGAGGGAGGATGAAAATGCTGTGCTGGAGAATGGCACTGTGGCTGGCCGGGTGGACTGTCTGTGGGAAGATTTCCTCCTGCTCTGGCCTTGACTATGACTACACTTACGATTTCACTGAGGAGGATAAAGCTGAGGAGATAGATTATAAGGATCCTTGCAAAGCCGGTAAGTGACTTCCACGTCTAGCAGAACTCCCCACCCCCTCCCCAGATGGTGACTTTGCCTCGGCTTTATTTACGGCGGTTTGCGTGAGGTGGGAGTCCCGGGCTCACCTGCTCCCTCCCGGCGAGGCAGCAGCGACGTACGGAGCCAAAGCCCTGCGCTCGGCTCTGTCACCTGGGGAAGGTACCTGAGACCCGCTTTTCTGGGACTTCCCACTTCCCTAGCTCCTCCGGCTTAGGTGGGAGAGGGGCGCGGCAGCGGGTCAGGGCTGGACCGGCC